ATGATGGTGGTGATGGTGATGATGGTGATGGAAAACAGAGGGATGAAGGGAAGTGGAGAGGAGAAGGATCAAGGGGCTTTTGTTTCCCCTTTTTATTTTTGTCGCTTCTTCTATGGTTCTGCCCCTCTCCTTCTATTTTGGTGGTGGTGATTGAGGATGGTGATGGAGGTGAAGGTTGTGATGATGATGAGATGCAAGGAGATGGTCTAGATCTATAGAAGGGAGAAGAATCAAGAGAGAAGAAGAGGAGGGTTCTCGAAGAACCTGATCTGGGTTCTCCAAAACTCAGACCGAGAGAGAGAGAGAGAGAAAAAAAAAAAAAAAAGGAAGAAGGTGGGAACACGATGAGAGTGACTAACGAAGTGTGAAAGTTAACGAAAAAATGAGTGTATAACGGGAGTGTGATACGAATGTGTGTGTATCAATCATGATCCTTTATCTTATCATTAGATATCTTTTTAAAATTTTTTTTTTTGTTAAAAAAAATAGGTATCTTTTTTGTTTTTTTTGGCAAATATCTTACCCTATATCAACACTACAATAATTAACCATACTTAGCATTCACCTATTATTAAATTTACTCACAAGAACTTAATTAAATTGGTATTGATTAACTTAAAAACTTTAATTTAAGGTCAATCTTAAGGATTTAGTCTTAATTTAGGAATGCTACTCTATAACTGTTGCTATTTATTTTTTGGTATTTTAACATCTTAAAAATATATAAATTATATTTAATATATTAATATTTATTTTGATTAATATTTTATATATTTTTAAAATAATAAAAACATAAAAACTAAAAGTTAAAAGAACCAAAAGGCATTAATTAATGATGATAAAGAAGAGACATTTATAGACAAAAATGAAAAAATGTCATTTATAAAAGAAGTGGGTAGGCATGGACACGGTTTGGTTTCAGTCTAACCAGAATCAAATTTTGAACTATCTTTTTTTATTTTTATTTTTTCATTTTTAGTAACCAAAACCAAACCAAATTCTTTATAGATTTATTGGTATGGTAACCAAAATAATCGATTTTAATATTTTGGTTATTGGTTATAATCAAATCGAACATTGAATGCCTATTTCAAGCTTAATAATAAATATACTTAATCAAAATTTGAAATTTTTAAGGAATATAAATATAACAAAATGTAAAAAAGATGAATAAATGAGAGTAAAACATAAATTTTGAGTTTTATTTTTTTTACTTTTAAATATACTTTAAATTTAATACTAAATTATAATAAAATTTTTAAGGTAAAACTTGAAAATAAAATTAAATAAGATAGTTTTTATATTTATTTATAATATTTAAATAACTATTATTTATTTATTAATATAAAATTTTATTTTTTTTATTGTATATTCGGTTTTAAATTTTCAACCCTCTAAACATTAACCAATTAAATATTTTTTGGTTATTCAATTAAAATTTTAAAAAAAATCAATAACCATTTGATTTATTTTTTAATGACATTCGATTATCCATTTGATTAATCAACTGTTTACCCAACCCCAAAAGTGGGGATGGAAGGGAACATTCTGCTCCATGCTTCAGCTGAGCATACCCTTTTCTGTCACTTTTCTAGTGCACCGTCACGGTACGTGTTGCCTTGTTGGAATCTGAAAATTCAAGTCTCTTGTTATCAGTGATGTGAATTGAGGATCCTGCATGTTCCCATCTTCTTGGACATATCCCCCCATTTTATGTTTCCCATATAATTGCATATCCTCTTCTCCTTTATGGAGTATAATGGAGCCAATACAAGATCATTAAAAACCTAATCAAATTAGTACTCATTAGCTTCAGAACTTAGTTGCACAAATTCAACTTTGACCCCCAATGTACTGAAGAAGCATGTCGAATGCCAAGGTAAGACTTAAAACTTCCCAATTACATACATTCAAGGTCAGGGATTTCTATAGAAACGCACATGGGAAGTCATAATCTACATAATTTTCAACACATTACGTACAGATAATGGGATATGGGAAAATGGCAACACTCTGGTAACAACCATCTGGAAAATGGGAAACTCTTCGTCGCTGCAACTTTTAGACTTTAGTTATGTTGGCCTACTTTTGTGTATGGACATGACAGAAATCACTTGCTCTGCTTGGCTGCAACAGTCCTCTGGACTGTGGAAACACCATCCACGAATTTTGTTCGGAAAAGAACATTTGCATTGTTAAACATGCCCTCCTTAAGTGAAACAACAATAAACTGCACAATACAAAAAATCAATGGACAAGGTGTTAAGACAGTAGCCAAGAGAAGTAACCATGGTTTCAGACTTTGGTGCAAGTCCATGAACGATCAAAAGATTTCTTATAGTCTATAATTTGATGCAGATTAAGCCTGCCATGGTCATGTAACCATATATTTGTGGTTCCATGTATGATGTATCATTCCTCACTTCAGATTTTTAGCTCATGAGGTATATATTACATCAAAAACTCCCTGATGAAAACAATTATGCATCACGTTAAATCAAACTTTTCAGAGGAAGCATCAAAATTATGCAATTGCAGTCGCAGACCATATTCTGGAACGAGCAGAAGTGTTGAAAAGCAGTGTACTGTTTATTTAACCCTTAGTAACTATCATGTTATGTCTCAAGGTTCTAAAGCAACATTTGTCAATTATTATTTTATCAGCAGTATCTCCATAACAATTTTCAGCAATGTTAATTTTATTTTGTTTTGTTTGGAACGATAATTCAAGAAAGTACAGAATTATTAAATCAAAAATTAGAGATGGAAGAGGAGTGGCAGAACTAATCAAACCTGAGAGTGAGGAAAGTGAGCTTTAATCATTCTCCCAATGTTTTGTGTGTGACTTAGATCAAGAGCTGCATCCACCTGTTTCAAGCACCTCAAGAATTGAATAACTTGCAGAGTCCATGCCACAACAATGTTTTACTCTAAGCATCAGAAGAATAAGCCTGACAAATAAAAGAAACAGAAGGACAGTAGGGTGGGTAGAAAAAGCAGCAATCATACCTCATCCAGGATATAAAGTGGAGCTGGCTTAAACAGCAGCAAAGCCAAGATTAAAGAAAGAGCAAGTAAAGATCTTTGACCTCCACTCAGCTCAGACAAGGATTGTTTCCAAACACTTCCAAATGCAACTCGGACCTCAAGACCATCTAAAAAACTGCAACCTTCTGGGGGTTCTAGCTTTGCCATGGTGCCCGGCAATAAGGTAGAAAAGATGGACCCAAAATCACTGAAGTAAAGAAATTTTGGAAGTTAGTCCAATAACCTAAAAGCAGGATACAAATAACATAGCACAAAGCAACACTTACCTGTTAACTTTAGTCCAAGTAACTTTTAGTGTTTCCTTCTTCTTCTCGTCTAGTTCTTCAATCACCTTCTTAATTTTAGTCTTGTCATTCTAGACAAAGACAGAAGAACATAAGTAAAGAATATAAGTACAGAGAAGTTACAAATAATGAACAGAAATGTTAATATGGATTTAGAGTACGCAACCTCAATAATGTTTTTCTTGGACATCAAATCATTATACTCATCTTCTGCTTTCTCAAACATTGCCATAACTTTCTTGTTCACCCTTTTCTCAAGGCTTCATAGTGACAAAAACAAAACAAATTCAAATCAAATCAATCACCACTCATTGAACATAAGAGGATATACAAGTGAAACCTGAAAAATAGTATAAACAGAATTTTTAAAAAATCACATGGTTGCACACCTCGATTGTTCAGCTTGCAGTTTCTCTAGTTCTTCCCTTGCTTTTAAAGGATCACGAGATGCAAAATCATAATCCGTCCCACTTCTGCCAAAAAGCTGCTTCTCAGATGCAATCCAGGCATGCTTCTCAATTAGTTTTTCAACCCTAGTAGAGCAATCTTTCTGCTCCATCTCCATTCGTCTGACCTGTAAGATTTTTTTTATTATGTAGGTGTTTCAGTGCCTCAAGTTATAGGATCTTAAAACAGACAATTTGACAATATTACCTCATTTTCCAACTTCTTCTTCTCAAGCTTGGTCTCACTAAGCCTATGCTGAAGTTTTTGCTGTTCCTTAAGAATGCTACTAATTTCAGAATCACATTCCTTCATCTTTAAGCGGATAGTATTGAGTTCTGATTCAGCCTGCTCATGATATTTCTTCTTGGAATTAACCTGCAGCCAACAGGAATTATTACGTGTCTGTTATACCAAAACTCGTGCCAAAATATATATCTACGCTTACCTTGACCCTTTGTTCTTCCACTTCCAAATTAAGACTGTCAATTTGGGATCTCAAAGAACCCAACTGGCTTTCCAAAGATGCATGTTCCTTTACAACTGCTTCCATTTCCATGACAAGCCTCTCTTTTTCACTTTCATGCCCCTAGAAGTGAGCAAAATATTCACAAGAAACAAGAGTTACAGATGAACCAACAAGCAAGTTTATACAAAGCAAGATGTATGGATTCTGATAAGGATTGATAGAAGATAGAGATGATGAGAAAATCTGGACAAGGATGTCAAACACACCTACCAGAAATTGAATAACAAAAGAAAAATTAGCATTCAGATCATTTACAAATTACAATCTAGTGTTATTATTATTATAAATTTACATTAATTCTTCCCATCATACCAATATATTGGGTTGAAGGAATCTAGGATAGCAAATTCAATTGACTTAGCCATTTGGTTCTGCAATATCTATGACTTTGTACAATATACTATGGACAGCTGCAAAGTAAACCTTAAAAATACCAAGATGTACCTTGAGATCTTTGGAAGCTGATTGCATTTGAGCTTTTATACCTTTAATTTTCCCCTCCAAATCTTTAAGCCTGCCCTCTCTATTATTATCATGATCCCTGATAGATTTCTCAAGGGTTGAAACTGCACTGACACACTTCTCATAAAAGTGTTGCTTTTCTATAATTTCTAATTTTGCTTCTTCAAGCTCTTGCTGATACCTCTTTACCATTTCAGCCAGCTATATGCACCCAAATGATTAAAAGAAGAAGAAGAAGAAGACATAAAGCATAAATCATCTAGTACCAAAAAGAAGCAGCATGACATTAAATCCACTAGTCCAATCCAAAATTAAAGAGAATAAAATACAATACCTTATGATGCTCGTTTTGCTCAGCCCTGCCTTGAAATAACGAAAGGTCATACATTTTTAGTTCTAACTGTGCTTTAAGTTCCAGAAACCTCTTCTGAACAGGCAGCAGCTCTGCCATCTGCAATATCAAAAAAGGGAAGGCCAATAAAGAACTCAGAACAGTAGGTAATTGGTTGTTACACGAACCTAAAGTCTTCCAAAGTAAAACAGGGGCCAAAAAAAAAACCTCTGCTCCAGCCAAAGGAAACCTGGCAACAGAAAACATTAGAAATGAAGAAAGAGATATATTGTTTTGGTGTAGAAATAGTCTACCTTTGCTTCAATGTCAGATAACCTTTTCTGATGCACTGAAAGGTTTAATTCAGCCTCAGCCAATTTATGAAGTTGCCTTAACAAATCACCCCCACCCCTGTTACAGAAAATTATATCTTTAGAACAGAACATCTATAATAGAGCATCAAACAGACCCCTTTTTTTTTCTGAGAGGGTCGGGGGTGGGGGTCGGGGGACCCAGTTTGCTTGATAACAATTTTATACAATAAAGTAGAAAAATATAAGTATGTCCATGGATATCTTTTACACCCCCACTCCATGGCTTCCCAGAGGAGAAAATGCAACAAAGAGATCATATAAATGCATGCCTATGAAAACGGTCAGCAATATAATGGTAAGGGGGTAGTGACTTACTTGCGGCTTCCACCAGTCAAAAGACCACTTGGTTGAAATATATCACCTTCAAGGGTGACACTTGGAGTATGGATTTCCCGATGAAAAGCGACCTGATATATCATTTTTAGTCAAGTCAAAGAAAGAAAGGAACTATAGAACCATGGACAATACATGCAATATCCAGAAATAGAACAGCAAAATAGATGTTTGGCTTGGCATCGACTGTCTCCAAAACAAACAGAAAAAAATAATAAATTACTTCACATTGTTCAGTGAATGTCAGTTTAATGGAATCCCAGAGACAGCATACCTCCTTTGCAGCATCAATGTTTTTACAAACAAAGGTTGAACCAAATACATACTCCATAGCGCTCTGCAGCAAGAATAAACTTTCAGAGAAATCCTCTAGTAACTTAGAGGTTACAAAATTCACATTACAATCAAACAATAAAGTACAGAGTTAATATTGTTCAAGGCATGCTGAACAATATATCTGAAAACACTAAAAATCAAAAAAGATTACAAACTTCCAAGTTCTAACTGGTAACTGCTTCAGCAAGTACAAATAAACATCATATATCTTTCCATGAAACTACCAATATGTAAAATTATAAAACAATACAAATTACTAGCTACTAATGAATAATAAATAGCATGTGGGTTAACACAAGAAGCACTCTAGCTGGAATCATACTTTCAATTCCTCACTATAACCAACCAAAGAAAGAGCCAATTGTGCATTCTCCTTGCCAACCTGCAAATATTATGAGAAAATCAAAACACCTAAAGGGAAATATATTAACAGGTTTGCAAGAGAAGCATGAAGATAAATCAAAGAAAGGACCCACCAATCTAATAGCAGCCTGTTGAACCCTATGGGAAACAGTATTGGGTTGGATTTTGTTCAAAGGTATGATTGTTACTCTTCTTTGAAGACCACCATTCTGAAGCAGTTGTTTTCCCGTATTTTCAGTGTCTACAACAACATTAAATAACTTTCCACCAGCAGTAACCTACAATTGGATTAAATGTTAAAGTTATGATATTAATGCGTCGATATACTAATAATAACAACAAAATAATGCACAGCTGACCTCTAACGCTGTCATTGTGGAGCTATCCTTCACTTTTATTAGTTTTGCAACCACACCCTTCACCTTTGACTTATCAAAATTTTTCACAGGATCACGATAGTTGAACTGAACATTTGCCAATTGGGCTGAAAGATTCCGAATTTCATCTTTCAACTTCTGGACCAACTCCAACTCAGATGCACGATCCTACATGCGTAGGCAGGTTAGAAGCAATTCAACCAAAATGAAATTCATATTAATCTAACATGGTTGATGAGAAATGTAGGAAGGAAATCCCATGAACCTTTTGAAATGCTTCCATCTGACCATCTTTATATGGAAGAGATTCCAATTCCGTTTTAACATTTTCCACATCTTTTCTTCTAGCTTTGAGCTCACGCTCCACAGAAACAGCTTCTTCATGTTTTGACTTTAACTGATCAGTTTTCTCTCCAAGCTCCTTTTCACAATGGCTAATTTTTGTCTGCAGCTGCTTCAATTCTGTTTCAGCACACCCAACAGCAACTTTAGCATCCACTAGTTGATCCTCAAGGCACTTCTCCTCATTCCCACTGCTCTTTCCAGCTAGGACACCCTGCTCATGGTAATAATGACTTTCTCAAAACACATGGACTTAAAAATGATTGCAAGGAATAACAAGTTACATAATTACAAGATAAACAAAAATGATAATGCACGGTGATCTTAACCTGGTAGTCCTTTTCATGTTTTTCCAAATCCTTAGAAAGATCCTCAACTCTCTTTTTTAGATCAGCTGCCCCTTCTTCAGACTTTTTCACTGCACAGGCCCTCTCTTCTATGGACTGCTTCAGGTCTTCAATATTGCGAATCATCTAGCAAAATCAGATTTCAAATCAGGAACTCTAAGCATTAATGAGGGAAAATACAACTACGCAGAGGCCAGAGGGGTATATGTATAATAAAACATTTCGAACATAATTAAACTGCACTTGTTACATTTATGAAATCCTTCAGATCATTCAAAAGAAACAACAGGATTTGGTAGAATGACCAAATTACCTTTTCAGCATTCTCTTTCTCACCCTGGAGATTATCCTCCTTGTTATTGAGCGCTGATACTTCTCGAACAAGATCCTGAGACAGTGCATCTACATTTTTGGACAAAGTGTTTACTTCATCACCCATATGGGCTTCCTTTTCAGCGGTCAACTTTGAAACTTTTACCTCCATTTCCTGAATATCTGCTCTTGTCTTTTCTGTGTCATTATCAATTTCAGTAATCTTTGCCTTGAATTGATCCACCTCACCAACTGCGTTGTCTCTAATCCTCTCCGCTTGAACGTATTCATAAGCAATACAAAACCTTTTAAGTCGGTCCAACTCAGCATTCCCGTTGGCCCATTGCATGTACTGCAATCTTTCTTTTCTTAACTTTTCCAAAGCAGGCAGTATTTCTTGGTCAAGAAGCTTGTTAATCTCATCCACCTTGCTCTGCTTTTTCTCAAGTGTTTTTAGAGCAGAGTCTTTCTTAGTCTCATACATTCTCGTCCCAGCAGCCTCTTCAAGCATTGACAAGATTTCTGGGGGTTTCATGTTTAGAACCTTGGTGATGCGACCTTGCATTATAAGAAAATGTGGGTTATTAACATTCAGCTGAACTGAATGAAAAAGGTTCTGTACTTGACTCGGCTGCGCTAGTTTTCCATTTATCAGATATTTGTTCCTTCCACCAACCACAATCTGCAAGGAGTAAACAAACATAATTTTCACTTTATACAGAATTTAACCATACCCATTAATCCTGTAGTGAACATTATCACGGAAACAATTCAACTTCTAATTCATAAACACACTGAATCAAAATCTACGCAACCAGTCGATGGGCTACTTTTTAACATAAAACCCACTTGTTCTAGCACTGGAAACAGCAGTGTTAACCAATGACCCTAAAATTCTAATTATTCAAGAATCTGAAACATAATCATAAAGAAGAAAGAAAGAGGGAAAAACATCACTGCACATTACGTACCTGTCGAGTCACAGTAATCTCTGAATGGTCCTCATAGCCTAGAGGGCTCCGGCTTCTATCTGAATTATCAAAGACAATGGAGACAGTAGCCTTGGTAATTCCAGCTTGACCTTGCTTGTACACGAGCTCCTGAAGATTCGAAGCACGAACCTGCTGCAAATTGGTAATTCCCAAAACGAAGCAAATGGAGTCCAGTATGTTGGATTTGCCAGAACCATTTAGACCCGTTATCGCGTTGAAAAACGGATCGAAACCAGGGACCACAGTCCTCGTCGCGTAAGATTTGAACCCCTCCAAACATACCTCCTTAATGTACATCGTTCCTCAGTTGCAGTAACTCAGAAACCCTAGAAACCCAGAGATTCAGGAGAGGGTTTCAGAGCGGCGAAACCAGGAAACTGATGAAATTAAACGGTGCCGGAGATCGAAACCGAGAAGATGGAGAGAAGAAATGTGGGGGAATCGGTATTTTGGAATGGAGCGTTCTCAGATACAGTTTTCGGGTTTTACTGTGAAGAAGGAGCTCTAGACCCAGAGGCGGGAAAATGGTTTTGTGCGAATGAAATAAAAAATTTCGAATTTCTAAGTATTGTCGAGAGGAACGCAAGGGCCATGGGCCGGGCTTGGTTAAGGGCTAAGGGCCTAAGGCTACCGGTCATCAACACAAAACAGTCTTGCACGGGCCGGCCTTCTAGGATTAAGAAACTGACTTTCAACTTTAAATTCAGTGTAGACTTATTATTTAGTGTAGTTATTACGGTTTTTTATTTTTATTTTAAATTTTAAATTTTAAATAATTAAAATTAAAAATTAAAAATATTAATTTGTTCAATATAAAATTTTAAAATAAATACTTAAAATTTTAAATTTAATAAATTTATAAAATGAATTAAATTTTTAATGTATACGTTAAACTCGAACCCTTATTACCCAACGCAAATCTTACTCAACAAACAACAATTCTTGTTAAAAGCTATTATTTATTATTTTCAATTATTAAAACTAAAATAAAAGTACTGGAATTCAACTAATTAAATACTTTAGAATTATTTTGATAATGAAATTTAGAATTATTTTGATTTGTCAACAAAGAATGAAACAATCAATTCGTTGGGTATGGGTATCATTTTTAATGTAAATATTCACCCAAAAAAAAAAATGGAGAAGAATGAAACTTGAAAGAGAGACGGGTATTTTTATTTCAAGAAATGTTGGCACTATTTTGAATATACAATTTAAATCTTGTGTATATATAAATTTGTGTATATATACACATATGTCAATACTGAAATTAATTAATAAACATTCATTCACTCATAGAAAAATAATAAGTATTTAAACAACTTTAAAAAGAATATTACAGGAAAAAAGACATAGATCAAACTTTACATTATCTACCAAAAATAAAAATAAAAATAAAAAACCCTTCAAACACCAATTCCCTCCAAAGTCCCCCTCCCAGAATCCCGTGCTTGGGCCGGCAATACCACATTGTCGTAGAGAAGCCCCGCAGCTGCAGCGCCGATCAAGGGTCCCACCCAATAAACCGCTTGGTTCTTGAAACTACCCCCGACGACTGCAGCCCCAAAGGCAGACGCCGGATTCATCGACCCTCCAGAGAACGGCCCCGAAGCCAACACCAAGGCGCCCGCCATCATCCCGATCGTTAAAGGCCCAATGGCTCCCGGAGACCCTCGCTCACTGGCGGCATAAACAGTGTACACCAGAGCGAATGTCAGAACTCCCTCCACTAAAGATGCTCCAAATCCCGTCATTTCATTCGCAATTGCATAGGTCGGAAAATGCTACAAAATTTACAGAGAAATCAAGTTAGATTCATCTTGAATTCTTGATCGAAAGAATTAATTACATAGAAATCGGCGATCTGTGCCCTGTCATTTCCTTTACCTGTGCAACGGTAGTGACTTTCAGGAGAAGGCAAGCCATAACAGAGGCGAACATCTGAGAAATCCAGTAAAACAGAGCGGTCGGGACACTGATCCGGCCGCAGACTGCCATCCCGAAGGTGACAGCCGGATTCACATGTCCACCAGAGATGTTTGCGGCGACATACACAGCGGAGGAGAGCGCAAAAGTGTTTGCAACCGCTACAATCACTAGACTCGATGGATCTGTAGCCGCATCTGACATTAATTTCCCTGCCAAAATTTCAAGAATTCAAAATCAGATCCAAATTTTGAGAAGAAACAGAAGATCCCTAATCTTACAAAAATCTTACTCGAAGCCATGGCGGATCCAATAACTGAGAAAACATAAAAGAAAGTAGAAATGAACTCTGCGAGGTACGATCTTAGAGCGATGGGAGTAATAGATGGGCGGAAACGCTCAATGAACATCGCCGGAGCCATTTTTCCGGTGAGCATTGAAGGAACAGAGTGTTCGGATATTGGGATGGAGGAGAGGGAATGTGTTTTTATATATGGAGGGAGGAAGAAAGGTTGCAACCTTTGACGGTGGCTTGGAACTCAAAATTAACCGCCACGAGGACACGTGGAGGATCCGGATTGGAGTTGTGAGGGGGTGTTTTGCGGTTTTATTTATACCGTTATATTGTTTTGTGTAATTGCACAAATAACCCTCAAATTATGGAAATTGCACATACAGTGTAGACCAATCTGACGGGTTTGTATTTTCTTTACTTTTTGACTTTTGCCCTTCTTTTATTTTATTTTTTTTCTCTTCATTTTCTTTGTTTGATTCCATGCTCAAGATACTGATTCTGTTTCTTTCAAATTTTCAGCAGTAAAGATTTTATAAGTTTAGTATTTTCTTCATGTCTTGACTTTTGTTGTATTTTAAAATTAATATTTAATTAAAAAATAATAATTGTACTCGATTTAAACCTTGATTGAACCGAGTGTAAATTTAAATTATTTTTTAAAAAAATAAAAGAAACCAATAAAAAGATGAGTGGTTGTGCACTCATGTCTATGCTGATTGCCAATAGCACTTCTCATCTAGTTATTGCTTAGATTCAAACATCTTATTTAATCATTGTTATCAAATTTGGACTAGGTCATTTCTAATCAAAACCAGCTGACAATCTTCCTTGATTGCTCAATGTTATGAAATTAAAGAGGGTGTCACTAGCACTCATCCCTCATCTCCCCTCTATGATTTTTCCTCCGTTTTTTTTTTTTTTTTTTTTTTT